TAAAGACAAGAATGGAGGAAACATATAAAACCTTTATATATTCAAAGAAACAACAAAACTGAAAACCTGGGAGGAGAGAGAGAAAAAAGGAGGTGTAAAGTAAGTTTAGTAATTGCCAAACAGAAAATGGAGTTAAAAGATACGACTTACAGCTGACAAATCACATAGAATATGTGCAAGTAAGGAAGGGGAAGGGTAACTTATCTTTATAAAGAATAGTAGAATAAAATAAAAAATGCCATAAATATAAAAACAAATAGGCATTTTCCAGAGAGTGAAAAGACAACCCACTGAATAGGAGAAATTTTTTTTTTTTGCAAATTATATATCTATTAGGGATAAAAGTTTAATACTCAGAATATATAAAGAATTCCTAGAAATCAACAACAAAAACACAAACAACAAAATAAAAGGTTTGAATAGAAATTTCTCCAAAGAACTTATAGAAATGGCCAATAAGCACATGAAAAGATGCTCAACATTATTAGTTCTTAGAGAAATTCAAATCAAAACTCTAATGAGACTACACCTCACACCTACTAGGACAGCCGTAATGAAGAACACAGAAAATAACAAGTGTTGGCAAGAATGTGGAGAAACTGGAAGCCTCATACATTGCTGGGGGGAGTGTAAAATGGTGCAGCCATTGTATAAAACAGTCTGGCAGTTACTTAAAAAGTTAAACATAGAATGACCACATGATCCAGCAATTCTACTTTTAGATATATACCCAAAATAACTGAAAACTGGGACTCAAACTGATACTTGTATGAGAATGTTCATAGCAGCATTATTCACAGTAGCCCCAAAGTGGAAACATCTCAAGTATCCATCAACAGATGAATGCTGAAAAACATATGGTGTATACATATGGTGTATTTCACCATAAAAAGGAATGAAATTCTGATACAGGCTACACATGGATCAACCTTGAAGACACTGTGCAAAATGATATAAGCCAGACAAGAGGGACATATATTGTCTGATCCTACTTCCAGAAGTATCTAGAATAGGAAAATCAATAGAGAAGGAAAGTAGAACAGACGTTACCGGGAACTGAGGGGAGGAGAGAATGGGCAAGTATTGCCTAATGGGTATGGCGTCTCTGTTTCGGATTCTGAAAAAGATTGGGAAGTAATAGTGATGGCTGCACAACATTGCAAATGTAATTAATGCCACTGAATTGTACACTTAACCAGTTAAAATGGCAAAATTTGTGTTATGTATATTTTACCACACACTCAGAAAAGCAATGGAAGATCTGCAGAGACATTGCAGACTGGAGCAGAAGAAAATGCGGGTCGACTGCTTAATAGGTACATGAGTTCTACATTACTATATTCCACATAAAAGTGAGATCATGTGTATTTGTCTTTCTGTATCTGGCTTATTTCACTTAGAATAATATCCTCCAGGTTTATGCACATTGTTGCAAATGGCAGGATTCCTTTTTCTTGTTTTCAGATGGAGTCTCACTCTGTTGCCCAGGCTGGAGTGCAGTGGCACGATCTTGTCTCACTGCAACTTCCACCTCCTGGGTTCAAGTGATTCTTGTGCCTCAGCCTCTGAGTGGCTGGGATTATAGGTATGCGCCACTACGCTTGGCTAATTTTTATATTTTTTGTAGAGACGGTGTTTCACCATGTTGGTCAGGCTGGTCTCGAACTCCTGACCTCAAGTGATCTATCCCCCTCAGTCTCCCAAAGTGCTGGGATTGCAGACATGAGTCACTGTACTCGGCCCCCCACCCCCGCTTTTTTTAAAGTTTAATATTCCTGTGTGTTGTGTGTGTGTGTGTGTGTGTGTGTGTGTGTGTGTATGCCTGTCTGTAAACATCACAATTTCTTTATCCAGGGATCCCTAGGTTGATTACATCTCTTAGCTACTGTGAATAATGGCACAGTGAACATGGGAGTACAGGTAACTCTTTAACAAACTGATTTCATTTCCTTTGGTTAGATACTCTGTAGTGGGATTCCTGGATCAAATGGTAATTCTGTTTTTCATTTTTGAGAAACTTCTGTAGTATTTTCCATGACAATGTATAAAGGATTCCTTTTCTCCACATCTTCGTCAACACTTTTACCTTTTGACATTTTGATAATAGCCGTTATAACTGGAGTGAGATTATATCTCATTGTGGTTGTGAAGTGCATTTTCCTGATGATTACTAATATTGAGCACATTTTCACCTACCTCTTGGCCATTTATATATATACTTTGAAGAGATGTTTATTCAAGTCTTTTGCTCATTTTTTAATTGTGTATTTGTTTGCATGCTACTGAGTTGTATGAATTTTCAATATTAACTCTTTATTATATACACTATTTGTGACTTTCTTCCATTCCATGGAAGAAATATTGCCTTTTCATTTTGTTGATTGTTTGTTTCCTTTTCTGTGCATACATTTTTAGTTTGATGAAGTTCACATTCTTACACTGAAAGTCTTTCATCCATTTTGAGTTAATTTCTGTGTGTGGTGTAAGGTAAGGATCCAGTTTCTTTCTTTTTTTTCTTTTGCATGTGGATATCCAGTTTTCCCAGCATCAGTTGGAAGAGACTATCCTTTTTCTCCATTGTGTTTTCTTGATGCCGACGTTAAGAATTGGTTATATGTGTGGGTTCACTTCTGGTGTTTCTATTCTGTTCCAGTGGTCTATGTGGCTCATTTTTACGGCAGTTGTCATACTGTTTTCATGACTCTTGCTTTGTAATATAATTTGAAATCAGAAAATGTGATGCTTCCAGATGTGTTCTTATTCAGAGTGTTATTTGGGGCCTTTTGGAATTTTGATATGGATTGCATTGAATCTGTAGATTGCTTTGGTATTATGGGCATTTTGATAATATTTATAATTCTGATCCATGAACACAGGGTGTACTTCCATTTATTTGTGTCTTTTTCTATTCCTTTCACTAGTGTTTTATAGGTTTTAGTGTATCTATCTTTCACTTCCTTGGTTTAATTGGTTCCTAAGTATTTTATTCTTTTTCATGCTATTGTAAATGGGATAGTTTTCTTAATTTATTTTTCAGATAGTTTTTTTTTCTTTGAGAAAGAGTTTTGTTCTCATTACCCAGGCTGGAGTGCAATGGCATGATCTCAGCTCACTGCAACTTCCACCTCCCAGGTTCAAGTGATTTTCCTGCCTCAGCCTCCTGAGTAGTGGAGATAACAAACATGCACCACCATGCCTGGCTAATTTTGTATTTTTAGTAGATACAGGGTTTCGCCACATTGGTGAGGCTGGTCTCAAACTCCCAACCTTAGGAGATCCACTCACCTCGGCCTCCCAAAGTGCTAGGATTACAGGTGTGAGCCACTGTGCCTGGCCCAGTTAGTTTGTTTTGTTTTTAATGAATAGAAACAGAACTGATTTTTTGTATGTTGCTTTTGCATCCTGTAACTTTACTGAATTTATTTATTAATTCTAACAGTTTTATGATGGTCTTTAGGGTTTACTATACCTAAGATCATATCATTTGCAAAAAAATGAAAATTTAAATTCTTCCTTTCCTATTTGGATCTACTTTATTTCTTTATCTTCTCAGGTTGCTCTGGCTAGGACTTCCACTACTTTGTTGTATGGAAGTAGTGAGAGGGGGCATCCTTGTCTTCTTCCTGCTCCTGGAGGAAAATCTTTTTATGGCAGCAGCAGTGGCACTGGTGCAAATGAGTGGTGGCTGTAGAATGGCTGTGGAGCTGGAATCTTGAGTGCAGATGTGTGGAGGGACCACAGCTCCAAGCTTTGGGATGGCGGGGGCACTGGCATCTGGGGTACAGGAGCCCTCACTGCCACAATGGCAATGGCAAGCAAGATGTGGGTGCTCTTACAGTGGCTGTGGAGTTGGGCTCTGGAGTACAGGTATGAGCAGGGCTACTATTTCTCCAGGAACATGTCTTTTGGAGCGGTGGCTCCAGTGTCTGTGGTGCAGGTGTTCACAGAGCTGCCTTGGGGCCAGGGGCTCCAGGGACTGGGGCGTGCTTGCTGTGGTGTTGTCTCTTATGTGTGAGGCATAGGAGTTCACGGTGCAGTGGTAGAAGTGGGGTCTGGAGCATGGTGTGCACGTAGTGGGGTGTGGAGCACGGTGGAAGTGGGGTCTGGAACATGGTGTCTACCCATCTGGAGTCTGGGATGGGTAGAGGGTTGGAGGGGTGAGTAGCAGTCCTGGTCCTCAATGGCACAATAGTGTCTAATTTCTATGGGAAGGTGAAGAGCAGAATCTTCCTTTCTGAGGGGTTCATGGCAGTGATAGCTGTTGGTTACATCAGTGGCAGAAGCTTCTGCTGTCCTCTGCAGAGCAGCCCACTGGGGACTGTGACAGAACCCACTGCATGGCTGAATGATGGCCATTCCCAATTTCTTTGTTTTTAGCCATCTCAACTTGCCACAGATAGGCGGTCTCTCCAACCATCTTTCAGTGGGGGTCATTCTCCATTCATTGCTCCACTGTTGCTGGGCAGATTCTTAATTGGACCCTTGAGCCCTCTGAAGGCTTTTTTTAATTTGTGGATTGCTGCTTAATTGTTGCTTTTATTGAGGGGATGAAGGCTAGTGTCTCCTACTGTGTCACCTTGCTGACATCACTCTCCTAAGATGGTCAAGTTTATGTTATGTGAATTTCATCTCAATTTAATAAAACAATTAAAGAATGTAAAAAGCCAGGTGTGGGAGCTCGCCTCTGTAATCCCAGTAACCAGGGAGGCTGAGGCAGGAGGATCACTTGAGGCCAGGACTTGGAGACCAGCCTGAGCAACACAGCAAGACCCATCTTTAAAAATATATTTATTTATTTTTTCTTTTACCGGTACCACTTGCCAATTTATTTTTTAATTTCTAAAAAGTATAGAAATAATCCAAGGAAACAAATCACATATAGAGAAAAATACAGTAAATACATAATGTCACACACATATTAAGGGTAACATTAGAAAAGATTATAGATTTGAGACCAAATATACCAGTCACATCAAGAAGTATAAATGGAGTTGACTCACCTATTAAAAGAACGTTTTCAAGAGTGCCTCATAAACCCAATTCTATGATGCACACAAGAGACACACCTATAACAAAGTTATTTGGAAAGGTTAAAAATAAAGGTCTAGGCAAAGGTAACCCAAACAAATATAAACATTAAATTAGAAGTGTTATGATTTCTATAGAGAACAGTAGAATCAGGGGAAAACGATTAAACAATTAAAAATGATAAAGTTCAAACTTCAGAATGAAGATTTAATAGTTTTCATTATCCATACACCAATAAAATAGCAACTACCTTATTGAAGCAGAAACTAAACTAATAGTTGACAGAAGCACAGAAATGATAGGAAATTTGAATGTGCAACTCTCAGTCCAAGGCAGAACAAGCTAATGGAAAATACTTAAATATTTACAGACTTAAAAAACAAAAAGAGCCCACAATCACTAAGGCACATGTCAAACTTCACACCTTAATATTATAGAACATACCTTCTCTTCAGGAGCACACAGAACATTCATGAAGATCATCCATACTGTGTTATAAAGGGACATCAGTAATCTATGAAATAGATACAATATAAACAACCTTCTCTGATCACAACACAATCCAATAAGAAATTAATACTGCAGAGGAGGAAAAGATAATTTTCTCTCTACCTTTAACAGTTCCTACTTGGAACGGACCCCTATAATAAAAGAGAGATTAAGAGGAAACAAACAAATTAATTAGCATATATACCTCATGTAAACATGAGACTATGAAAGAAAAACAAATCTTGGGACTCCCAAATTGCTAAACCAAAGGGAAAAGTCAAGCTTGGAATTTTATCAGACAAACCTGGCTCCTATTCTATTCCAAAATAAGATAGCTACAAAGATAAGCTACATACCTCCTTCATAATTTACCCACAAAGTAATTCCCCTAAACACTTTTGCTAAATTTCACTTTGGCAGCATAATTGACAGCTTATCTTCACAGGTGTAGGACAAAGGACAGAACTCAAAATCATCCCGCTGCTCACCTGAGACAAATGCATATCTGATTGCTTCCTCAACCCTATTGTTTATGAAGAAATGCAGATTCATTGAGGCAGACTAAGACATAAGTGACTATTCTTCTACACTCCTCTCACATGTAAATTGTGTATTCAGTGAAAGGTTGATCAAAGACTCACAAGAAAGCGACTGTTTGTCTCCTATCTGCCTCTGATCTAGAAGCCCCTGCTTTGAGCTGAGCTGCCTTGCCTTTCTGAACCAAACCAATGTACATCTTACACATATTGACTGATGTCTCATGTCTCTCTAAAATGTGTAAAACCAAGCCCTGCCCTGATCACCTTCAATACATGTCATCAGGACCTGCTGAGGCTGTGTCATGGGTGTGTTCTTAATCTTGGCAAACCAAACTTTCTAAATTGATTGAGACCTGTCTCAGATACTTTTTGGGTTCACAGGAAATACCCAGAAAAATGGGTAAATCTCAAAGTGGTGGTTGTATTAGTCTGTTCTCATGTTGCTAATAAAGACATACCTGAGACTGGGTAATTTATAAAGGAAAGAGTGTGAGTCAATAATTTAATTGACTCACAGTTCCACTTGTCTGGGGAGGCCTCAGGAAACTTACACTCATGGTGGTAGGGGAAGCAAACATATCCTTCTTCACCTGGTGGCAGGACAGAGAAGTGCTGAGCGAAGGGGGAAGCCCCTCATTGAATTAGAACTCACTCACTATCACGAGAACAGCATGAGGAGAAACTTCCCTCATGATTCAGTACCTCCCACTAGGTCTCTCCCATAACATATGAGATTACAATTCTAGGTGAGATTTGGGTGGGGACACAAAGTCAAATCATATCACTGTGAATTCAGGTTAATACTTAAGTCTGTTGGGTGAAAAAAGACCAGCGTGGGGAAGGCCATTATGGGGAAGTGCCCAGGACAAGTTTGGTAAACAAGGGTAAGGTATGCTATGCAGATCAAGTCCATGCTTTCTCCATTGAGAAGACTCTCTAGTGATTCTCCTCTTCTGTGTACAGAGGAAGACACTCTTACAAATGAAGGTTTCCTTTGTACATGTAAATTTCCTCTACAGAAGGGTAACTTCTACCCTGTTTTTGGAGCATTTCCTGTCTGCAGTTTCTCAAAATAATCAGCTCAAAATATTCATTATGCTAAAGAGACTTATTTTGGGGTGGAATATTCTGGTCTCCCAGTGTCATATTTTGGGGTGGTATATTCTGGTCTCCCACAATAACAAACATTTAACAAGGCCCTTCAACTTAGAAATGAAAAATATCTCTAACAAACAAGCTTGGGTTAAAGCAGAAATGGAATTCTTAATTGCAAATTTTTTATTTCAATTACAGGAATGAAAACATATCACTATACTTCACAGTTAAAACAGGATTGACTCGCCTATTAAATAAATTTTCAGAGAAAAAGTCAATATTTATTATTAAATGCTTAAAAGTGATATAATATTAATATTAAATAATGCATTATATAATATTTATTATTAAGTGCTTAATAATAAATAATATTAAATATCAGAGAATAAAGGTAAAGGAATTAAACTTCCAATTCAAAAAGCAAGAAAAAGAAACTCCTATATAAAGAAAGCACAAATCAAAAAATAACACAGGTTAAAACAGAAATTAATAGAAAAACCTACATCAAAATGAAAGTCCTTTGAAAAAAATGGAGAAATACACAAACCAGAATCTAACTTAACTATGAAAAACCTGACAGACCCACAAATGCATAAAATAAGAAATGTCATTGGGGGAACTAGTACGGGGCCGAAACGTGATACCTTTCCTAGCTCATCATAAAGTCATGGCCAACATGTCTATAACAAAAGACAGGTTAAAGGAAAAAAGTGTAACAAATTTATTTAATTAAAATTTTGGGTGACACAAGAGACTTTAGAAATAAAGACCCAAGACCCAGAGAAAGCTGGTCTATTTTTATACTTCGGTTCAATGAAAGCTAGCCGTGTGATTGGCCAAAAAGGGTATGATCTAATAATAGTAGATTGATGGGGAAAACGCAGCCAGCCCTGTCCGGATTCTTCTTTGACTCTCTGGGTAGCATTTCTTCCTCCTGGATGTAGGCCAGGACCCCTTCTGTAATGAGGGTCTTATGATCTATTGTCAGATAAAGTAGGTCAGAGAATTTCTTTATGGAAAGGTAGGGCAAGGGTAAAGTAATACTTCTAGGATTTTTGGCTTGCTTTGGGCAAGAGGAATTCTGGTTTCTATGACCCAACCTGGGGAAGAAGAATTCTGATTTCTATGGTTCAGTTTAGGGGAGAACGAGCGGTGAGAGCCAGGAGGACAGGAGTTTAGAGAGACCTTGTTTCTGAGGCTGCTTCTAAGAGCCACACTTCGTCATATCATCTTCTGAGCCCCAATACTAGTCCTTGAAACACAGAGTATTGAAAAAACACCATGAGGGCTTACTTTGCACAACTTTATGTAAAATAAACTTCAAAATGTAGATGGAGTATATAATTTCTTAGGAAAATACTATTAATCAAAGTTGACCCTAGCAGACATTGAAGCACCATATTCGACCAATTTCCATAAAGGTAGAGGATGCTATTAAAGATCAGCTCTGCAAAGAACTACTGTACCCAGCAAAGAGAGTTCTTCAAAGTCTAGATAATTCTAACTTCCTGAAATATAGACCAAGAACTTCCAAATTCTTCTTATGAAGCAAGGATAACACTAACGAATAAATACAAATAAAGAGTCAGACCAATTTTACTTATAATTATTGATGCAAAAGTCAAAAAATTAGCAAAGAGAAGCTAACAGCACAATTTAAAATAATGAATAATGACCAACTAGATTATTTCTTCTGGGTGTTAAACAAAACTATGGGAAGCCAGTGTCTGAGACTGAGCTCTTGCTTTATGCCCCAACAAACCAAACCAAAACGGAGTCACTCATGATAAGTGCCACAGACTGAAATTTGAAGGAATCAGGTAGACCCACAAACAGAACTGCATTTCCTGAAAACAGGAGATTCACAGCAACCAATCAGAGAGGGCCCAGCCAACCTCAGACAGTGTCATAAGGAAGGAAGTTTCTTCTGCTTTAACCCTTACATGAAAAATAACCTGAAGCAACCTGTTGGTAACCAATCCACTTTTTTCTGTTTCCTTGTTCCCACCTTCCAAAAACAAATCGTTTTGTCATGCCCATTTGAGTGCTCATTCTACAGAAAGAAATGCTGCCTGATTCTAAAATGGCCAACAAAAATCAATCAGATTTTTAAACGACATTTGTTGTAATTATGTCTTTTGACATAGGTATGACTAGAAATAGAAAATGGTTAAAAATTAGAAAATGTGTCCCTGTAATACACTATGTCAGTAAAGCTAGGGGAAAATCACATAAGTATCTCCACTGGTGTATAAAAAGCTTAAACAAAATGTAATACCCCTTGCTGATACAATCACTGAATAGGAATCACAGAAATTAATTTAACTGACTTCAATTTAAATTGCCACATGTGGTTAGTGGCTACCATACTGGACAATGATTTTCTAGAGGATCAAGATCATAATGAAAATAGACAATATGCATGATAGACAATAATGTTTACCTCTATGTGAAAGATAAGGGTTAGCAACGTGGCCTTCTCCAAAACTCTGCTGAGTTAAATTACAAAATCAACACATAGTGCATGAGCCCAGGTATGTGCTAACAGCATAATTCTTTCTGGGCCAGAAGCAGGAAAAATCCAGCTGACAATGACCATCAATGGAATGAATGACGTCGATAAGGTAATGTTAGTTGATACCGTTTATTATTATTATAGCAAGGGCTTGCTCAGGGCCGCGTGCTGGGCTGCTTTGTATGCACTGCCTCACTTAAGCCTCATAACAACCCTATGAGCTAGGTGTTCTCATTTTTAAACGTGAAACAGGTACAGATTAGGTACTTGCCCAAGATACCTTAGTCCGTAAGTGGCAGAGTCGTGAGTTATAGACAGCTTCTCTGGACTCCAAAATCCTTGTTCTAGTTCTAATTTGACTTCCACTGTGTATCTGCCTACATGAGAAAATGTTTGTTACCACGATACCTGTGTTCCAGGTCACGTGATGGTTTTATATCTATTACTGGCATTTAGCTTTACACTTCAATCCCTTCTGAGTTTAGTCAGTGCGAAGAAGCTCTGTAGGGGCGGAAATGGGGCGATCTGGAATTCTGGTTTCTATGACGCAGTCTGGGGGAGCGTCAGGGTGAGAGACAGCAGGGCAGGGGATAAGACAGAGCTTGTTTGAGGCTGCTTCTGAGGCCTTCCAATCCCCTTAGTTCAAAGTACTCAGCGTGTCAAAGCGCCATATTTTTAGGGTGTCATTTTCTGAGCCCCAACACCCCTGTAAGTCTGAGTAACCCAAAGATATTGCCAATATCCCCGTTCTGCCTCAGAAAGGGAAATGCCACCCTAGAAGGCCTCCTGGGTAGAGCTGCCAGATAGAACATGGGATCCTCAGTTACATTTGAATTCCAGAAAAACAATGAGTACTTTTTTTTTCATAAGGATGTTTCAAACATTGCATGGGGCATACTTAGGCTAAAAAAGTATCTGTTCTACATGGACACAGGGAGGGGAACATCACAAACTGGGTCCTGTTATGGGGGGTGGGAGAGCTAGGGGGAGGGGGCACAGAAGGGGTGGGGGGATTGGAGAAGGACAACATTAGGAGAAATACCTCATGTAGGTCATGGGTGGATGGATGCAGCAAACCACCATGGCACGTGTGTAACAATCCTACATGATCTGCACATGTACCCCAGAACTTAAAGTGTAATAATAATTTTAAAAACTATCTGTTCTTTTTATCTGAAATTCAAGTGTAACTGGCTATCCTGTATTTGATCACAGCTGTATTCCCAGGAGACTGCCAGGTAAGCGTTGCCCGGTGTTCCTCTTCCAGACCATGAGTGCCTCTTGCAAACTGTAACAGTGGGGCCAGAGTTCTGTACACAGTGTGCTTAGCAGAGAATTAACTCTAAATAGCCAGGGAAGGTTGCCTAGAAAGGAGGAACAGGTTGTCTTCAAAGCATGAGTGGGAACGTGCATTGTGCTCCATTTCAGGAGGGCCAGCCAAGCCAGGTGCCTCAAAGTCTGTGGGGTAAGCTGGAGGGAGACCTACTTCTAGAAAGGAAGAGTGGGCTGGGTCTTCTCCCTCACTCCTACATGCAGGGAAGCCCTCTGGCCATCTCAGTAGCACTCTTCAGTTTACATTTCATTACACAGCGGGGTTAGCCTGGTCTCCCTTCTTCCCAAGGACAGCTAAGAGATGCAAGTGACAATGGGCAGCACTGCACCAAGCACAAGACTTTTTGTGGTAAGTTCATGCTATTTAAAAGTATTATTCCCTCTGAGTTTCAACTCTTGCAAATAGTGACTTCTCAGTTCACTACCCACCCAAGTCTTTTCCAACTGCCTTCACGCCATGACTAGCTCTTTAAGTTAAAAGGAGGGAGGATTAAGTTCAGTGTTTTTGCTTCTTCTTGACACTTGGGTTTTCAAAATGGATGCCTGGTCATTCACCCCTTGGCTGAGTGGAGGGGGTGAGGGGTGGAACAGAGGAACAGTTGCCCATTGTGAGCATGAAGTGCTTCCATAGCCATGGAAGTCTCTCTGAACACTGCATCTCAAACTTTCTGGGCATTGTGATTACCTGTAGGGCTTGCTTGATCAAGCACAGATGGCTGGGCTCCATCCCCAGAGTTCATGATTCAGTAGGTTGGGATAGGGCAGAAAAGTGCATTTCTTTTTCTTATTTTTTTAAAAAAACTTTTAGGTTCAGGGGTACATGTACAGGTTTGTTATATAGGTGAACTCGTGTCTCAGGAGCTTGCTGTACAGATAATTTCATTACGCAGGTACTAAGCCTGGTACCCAATATTTATTTTTTCTGAGTCTCTCCCTTCTCCCACCCTTTACCCTCAGGGAGGCCCCAGTGTCTTGTTCCCTTCTTTGTGTCCATGTGTTCTCATCATTAGGTCCCACCTTTAAATGAGAATATGCAGTGTTTGGTTTTCTATTCCTGTGTTGGTTTGCTAAGGATAATGGCCTCCAGTTCCAGCCAGGTTTCTGCAAAGGACATGATCTCATTCTTTTCTATGGCTGCATAGTATTTCTAACCAGTTCTCAGGAGACACTGCTACTGTTGCTTCAGGGAGCACACCTTGGGAACGCTTTAAAGCAGGGATTCTCACACTTGAATGTGCACACACATCACCTAGAGATCAAGTTAAAATGCAGAATCTATCTGACTCACTAGGTCTGGGGAGGGTTGTAAGTTCTTCTTTTCCCACAAGCTCCCAGAAATGCAGCAGCAGCAGGGTGAGGTGCCAAGCTCTAGGGAATGATTTTCAATCCTGGCTGCATGTTAGAATGACCTGGGGATCTTTTAACATTT